AAACTTCTTGCGGCGGTTGCGAGTGTTCAAAGCGCTTTTTGGGGCGGGCTGAACTGTGCCGATGCTGACCGGCTGGAGCTCTGCAGCGCTGCCCTCCCCATGCGCGCAGCAGTCCAGCCTGCCCAGGATTTCCTTTTAGGCCCAATGCCCACGTGTAGGCACAGTCGTGCCTGCTGTGCATGTGCTTCAGTTCTGCATGCTGCCTCCTTTCTGCGTTTCCAAAGCAGACGCAATCCCTCCTGCAATCCTGCGGGACTGACAAATGCGTGGAGTGACCGCTGTAGTAGCCTCGCGCAAACAGACTACACAGACATACACATCCCAGGGTGCGTTCGAAGGGGAAGGAACTGCATAAAGGCTCCATTGAGGAGCTCCCATTCACTGCGTGAACAAAGCGCCGCTGTGAACCTGCCTCGCGTTCCCAAAGTTACTACGGTGCAGACAAGGGAATGGGCTGCATGCCGGTACCTTCTCAACACAGAAAGGGCAAAAGAGACACAACCTTTTCTCTCCAAGGGTAAAAACAAAATTCAAAAGACAAGCAGAGAAGCTTTAATCAAGCTGGTGTGTTAAAGGAGAGGGGAAAGATCAGAGGAAATTCAGTGAGATCGCCTCTTTGCAGCTCCACTTCATATGGGCTGCTCCTTAGCCCAGTTCCTATAGATTGACTGAATTTTAATAGTCCCTAGTTTTGTGCCCCATCCTGGAGCTGCGCAATGTGTGAAGTTTCAGACACACACACAGAAATTTCAGACACAGAAACACGGCACGTCCTTACGAGAAGTAGTGGCAGGAACGCTGGCTGCACTGCCTCTGCTCTACTTTACTGCGGTTCATGAACTCCAGTGATCACAACAAAAAAATGCTGTTTTCTTACATAAACAAAGGATAAAACCACGGCTGGAGCAGAGTGTGCTGGACTTCAGGAAGCAGCAATTGGAAAAGAGAGCAGCCCTGATGCCAAAGGTGGCACAGGGATATCCCACAAGGCTGGACGCTGCTGCTGCCTTGAGCTCGAGCCCCCTCACTGCGATCCACGGTCGCTCAGAAGTGCTCAGCGCTCTCTAACAGGCAAAGGAGACACACGGACCCAACCTCTTAGCCGAAGCTCTGAGAAGGATAATGAATTAATATTACACTTGCAAGGACTGCAGTACTTCTGTATAACAACAATATCCACAGAGACCAGGGTTCCATCCTGAGGCAAACACACCTGGAGTTTGGTAGTACTTTCTCCCTGTTGTTGAAACAGAAGTTACTGACTTGGCCTATTTTTACCTGCTTAAATAATAATTTAAAATCAGAAAACACCATTTTGAAAATCATCTTAGCACATAACATAGAATTTTAACCACAGAGTTTAATACGAGACAGGGTAAAGTGCCCAGAAAAGCAGGGATTCATTTGTACACTTCCGAATAACACAGTTTTTACCACTAAAACATCAGCTGCTAATGGCCTATTCAGCAAGAGGCAAGCGACTGGCCTGTTACACACTTCCTGCAACCTAGGCAATTATATAACATATATAGCTAAGGCTCGGCAATTATACAGCCTCTGCCATTCAAATGCTTCAAACCACTTGACAGCCACTCAGCAGGCATCCTGCCCAACAGCCCTACCGATGCAGCGCACATGCTAATCGTGTGCCAGAATCAGAGGCTGAGCCTCAGAGAGACCCAGGGACTTGGTCAGGGTCATGCTCCAGGACCGAGGAAACACTGTCACCCTCCCTCTCATTAGCTAATGCCAGGGAGCGCGTGCAACTTCCTCCACTCACACCTCAAGTGCAGATGACCAGGGACATCTTTTTATTCCAGTTTACCAAGAACATTCCCAACAGCTTTTTGTATTTATAAAGGCGGAGATAAGCAGCATAAATTAAAACAGTCAATATTAGAAATGGATGAAACCTTGGATTTGGAGAGTCTTTAAACCTTTGCTTACTAGAGCTGCTCTGTATTTATCTCCCTGTTGGAGAGAGAATGCTAACCAGAATAAACCCTTGCTCTGAGCTACTAATGCATTTTTTATAGTGGGAATGTAAGGAATTTGTAAGCCAGGAAAGTATCCAGCCCGCCGTGTGCACTAGCTAGTAATGACTCCATTAATTTGTTTAATCCTTTTATTCTGTCTATGCAGGGTGATTCTTAACTGTTTTGGTCTTCTTCCCAGAAGGCCTCAGCGGTTGCTGCGGGAAGGCCTGGTACGAGCCCCGCGCTCCGAAGCAGTTGGCTTGCTGCTACATTCGATGTTCGTTCCTTAATCCGTGCTGTCAGTGGCTATACATTAGGGAATCATTCTCATAAACTGCACGTGCACCAGGTGAAGCAAAGATGCTGGATTTAAGGATCAAAGACAGGCCTGAGGGCCGACCATCATTCCCTACAGACTTGAGCTTGAGGAGCCGTCAACCTCACTCAACGGCTAAAGGGAGGGTTCAGAGAAGCCCAAGTAGGAATGGAAGTTTCTTCTTGCCAATTTCTAGCCCTTCTATTAAAAACACCCCATGTGAAAATTAGTGCAGAAAAAATAACTGAAGTACTGCAGTGGAAAAACAAAAGTCGCTTTGTTCCTCCTTTTCTTCTGTCTTCCTTCCTTTTTGATTTGTTACTCTTTCCAAATACTGTTGATATAACACCTTCCTCTTTCTGATAAACAACCTCTTTAAAAGAAAGCTCCAAGGAGGGTAGAAATTGTTAACAGCTAGAGTCTTTTCCCCTTTTACTTAGTACCCCACTGACAGAGTCTGCAGTCCAAAGAGCTGGTGAAGGCAACGATGGGACATCTTCTGCTCTGGTAGTGCAGCAGAGGGGCAGACATCCACAGTAAATTCTCCCCTTCTATGTGAGTGTCATGTAAATGTGGATTTTCTGTCCTGTTTTTTAATTCTCTAGTAAACGTAATTGGTGGTAGAAATTTAAGAAATGAAGTTCTAAGTATTTTGACATGCAAATCCTGTCTGTCAAGGTTGTAGTTTCTTGCCCAAAGAAATTAAGAGCAGCATATTTATTTCATTTTCATTTCTACGCAGAGGAGCCTCCAGGATTTATATGCTATTTAAAAAAAAAAATCCATTGAAATACATCCAGATCCATGTGGTTACTCACCTAATGGCACCTGTGATTATTTCATTACAATTGTCAAATTATTAAGCTGCAAATATTAAAACTATTATACATGAAAATACAGTCAAGCGATAATCTAACTGTCAGGAATACAGGTAAAGCAGCTTCATGAATTTTTATTTGTAGTATTAGAGCTCTCAGAAAGAAAAAAGAACAACAGTCCATTTCTTGCCTTCACAGCTCTAATTATCAATCTTCTGGGCTATTTAGAGAAATATCAATATTTAGAACAGATTAAGTCTCTTATTTTTCAAAATAGCTCAATGTCTATATACTGAAAAATGTCTCCCCCTCCTCCATCCCCATTCCAAACGTATCTAGAGTTGCCAACCTTGGCACATTATGAGTCAGGACACTAAGTCTGCTCTGGGGAGGGAAATGTCTTCCTTGCTTGTGTTTTCATGTCCTCTTCCCAGGGATTTACAGCTAAGCATTTGTCATGCTGATATTTAGACAACAAAAATAAATATAAACACACCTTTTTAAAACAAAAGATATATGATGACAATTTTCAGCTCAATTAAGGAAGAATTATATAGAAAATATGACATGCCCTGTGGCCTAGAACAGTGTAGTTTTGGAACAAAGTAAGAGGAAAGAGAAGCGAAATGCAGTGTTGAAAAAAAGACTTTGTGACTGGCAAAGACATGTTTCAAACTGCTGGTCACATTGCTGGCTGTCTGCAATGTTTTGGTTTAGAAACATCCCAAACATAAAGCTAATTCACAAAATATCTAAGAAGATCAAACTAGTACCTCTGAAAACATGTCAGGGGGATCATCTGGATGGGTTTTATTACTCACAGAAAGCATTAGGCTACCAAACTTACCCCTACAGTGTTTCCTCCTGTGTCTTGTCAAAAAGAGAAAGAAATTTACGCTAGAAAGCTAATATTTCATCTATCTACAGAAAAAATGAATGAATGACTTAAAGTACAAAATTCAGTTTTGATTTCATGATCACCTTATATTGAACTCAGTCAGCTCTGCCACATGAACGTGTCTACCTCACCTGTGACCCACAGGCCACAACAGGGAATTAATATTTTTCAAACAGCAAGATAAAATACCACTTTTCGATCAGCTCAGCTGCCTTATCTAGCTTGATACGCGGGTACACGACTGCAAATGTTGGCATGGGGCTGCGAAGGGAGTCCTTCTGGTGGGTGCCCATACTCTGGTTAATCCTAGTTTTAGTCGACATTGCCTTCATCTCTCAGTGGAGAAAAAAAACCTGCCTGGAACCTTATGACTGGAACTAGAGCATTAAACCCTGAATAAAAAAGTAAAGGAAATAGAGATAAACAAAAAAGTGAGTATGGGAGAAATAAAAAAGAGGAAACTTAACCCATTTCCATATTTATTGGATTTGAGGATCTGTTTGTGTTGCACTCCCAGAAGTAAAACACAAGAAGAATTACAGAACATTTGTTGACAACTGACTATAGCTATGGGGGCAAAGAAATACGCTGTGGAGTTACTGTTCCAACAGACTCATAAATCTGAGCTTGAATAGACCATAACCATTGTACTTCCAAGGCTCTAACAAGAGAGCACAGCAGGACATATTCTCACCATAGCAATTCAGAAAACTGTGCCATCCAAGTACATTTCCACTCTCTGCAACACTGATCTTTTCCTGTCCTTGCTTCTCAAAGGAAATTGATATATTCAGTTCTTGAAATAGCACTTGAAGCCTGAGTCCCAGCTACAGCGCCACTTAAAGTCTTCTTGTACATCTCTCTGAGTAGTAACATCTCTCTTATGCTGCAGAGAGTTACTGAAAAACAGGGTCAGACCTGAAGGGAATCTTCAGAGTTAGTCCAATACATGTCAACCGTTTCAGGGCG